CATTTAAAGTACTGTGTTATATGCTGAACTAATTGTTTCCATGAAACACCATTTTTACTTGAAAGAATAACAGACAAAAAATAGTTATTCAGACGTGGATATCTGGCAGATATTTTTCTCAAAAACAAATGAAGTGAGCCTTTTACTTCAAGGAAAACGGGTAGATTTGTTGCACTGGTGCAATTGAAGTTTTTAAGTGAAGTATTATTGCGTTTTAAAATAAATAAATGTTCCCTTAAAAGCCTCTGCTTAAATTTACCCTGATGTGGTAAATGTCAAGAGATACAACCCACATAAACAGAAGCTTTCTGAGGTCCTCAATATTTAAGAGCATAAAGGGGTTCTGAGACCAAAGTGTTTGAGAACCATTGTATTAGACACTGCTCTGTGATCTTAATTTTCCCTTTTATATTTTATCAGAGATTGCTATTTGTATGTGTGGGGTGAGTGTGTATGAGTGTGTGTGTGTTCTCAAAGCCCTTACAACATATATATGTTGTCTATGAAAATTATATCTGATCTACCCTATAAGAGTGCTCACGGTAAATAATCCAGAATCAGGTAGAAGAAACAGAGAGCAAAGGCATAGGGGTGAGTCTGTAAGTCTATTAGCAAGCTTTAAGTACAGAGAGTCCTAGTAGGCATAAAATGCTATTTGAAATCCTTTCCATTATTGGGGCATGGGGGGGGAGGGGGGGAAGGAAGTGTACCCAAATGGCAGGGCTAAGAGAAACGTAAGTTTCCTAAAGAGTAGTCTCCTACAGACTGATAGCCTAAAAATGTAAAAATTAAGCAAATGGATGAAACATCTGTCTATATATGTGCTGTCCCTCCCACTGTGTAATACAAACAATTTGTATTTTCTAGGGTGTTCCTCTGTGCTATTTTTGAACCACAAAATTAGGATAAAACATAGCCCCTATTTGCAAAAATTTTATGTTACTTGGGATGACTAAATTTTAAGTATTTTATATAAACTATTGTGTATATTTGGAAGTTTGTTGTTTAAACAGATTGATATATGCAATACTCAAAGAACTACAGATTTTCTTATTTACTGTTTTTCACGCTAATTTTCTTGGATAATAATTTGCCCCAAAGTAATGTTTTTAAGTGTCTTTTGAATTCGCTTGTTAATTGTAAGTATAAAATCAGAAAAAAACATTAAAACTTTATCAAAGAATCAAGAACAGCCTACTTGTTTTTAATTCCTAAGATCTTATTATAAACATGCACCTAACAAGGAAAAAAAAATCACTTCAGGTACCTTAGGCTTTTGTTTTTTAAGCCTTTGGTAATCTTTTTATTAACTTATTAAAAGACCAATTAGAAACACAAAAGTAGTTATCAAAATGACTAAGAATAGAGTGTTAAGAGTCCTGGATGTAGTTATCATAATCATGGACACTGGGTAAATTACTTCATTTCTCTAACATGGAGATAACAACCCTCATAAGTTGTCAAAGGATTAAATAAGAAAATACAAGTAAAGCCCTGGCACATATATGCCCACTCAATAAATAAGTTAACACCAAGGATACATTTGACCAGTACAGACAAAAATATTCAAAGATGGTCTATAATTCTAAAATTCAACTTAGTGTGTAATTTCTTCTATGCTCCCCAAACAGTATCTCTTCCACAATTCTGTGTGTGTGCAATGAGGAAAGCATATACTTAGATTCATAAATATTTGTTCAGCATCCACCCTGTGCAAGATAGCAACAAGAAAGTCCAAAACACAGTGTTTAATATTTTAAAAAGATAAATCATTTCAATGAAAAACTTTTACCTAAATATTAGGGATATTTGACTAAAAGTAAGAACCAAGTTAAAATTTACCAGAGAAATATTAAATACTTTAAAAAGTTGCTTTGATAAAATTAATCTTTGACTTTTACTCCTATGTTCTACTTCTACACATGGGGCATTTATTCTTACCTAAATTTTATATTTTCACCTTGATAGGCTTTTAAAGGCCTATCAGATAGGTGAAAAGCATACAACATATCATTTCTAAAGTTTCAAATATGTGATAGGGAATTAAGTAATCTTGAAGGACCAGGAGGTATGTATGTTAGTCATATGGGGCTCAATTCTATCCACTGCCTGGGACTAGTCTTACAAACACAGCATCTCAGTCCCGAAGAACTATTCAAGTACATTACAGTCATTCACATAATTAAATATTAACTCAGTCATTCCAATAGCCCTACAAAGTATTGCTATTCCCATATAAGTGCAACAAAAATTCAACCTTTACTGAGTACTTACTACACAAAGAGAACTAAGACAATGTCACTGCCAGGCACTGTAACTAGCTGCTAGGGGTAGTTTAAAAAAAAAAAGAAGAGAAGGAATACAACATGTACAACATGGTGGCTGCAGTTTAGAGGCAAAGTGCAAATGCTTCTGCTCTGGCGATCATATTTTTATTCTGTCAATAAATATTTACTGGGCATCTAATCCCTTGAAAGTTACATATCATCAGGTTATATCTTAGTCTAACATATTCTAGAACCTTGCTAGAGATAAGCTGATTGAGGGAATTATTTTTTTAGTTATATAGATGTATAGATAGTAAACAGCCATTATCTAGATTTTAGATTTGTTTGTAAAATTATTTATTGGCTGTTTTTAGAAGTAACCTGCCACACCTCAATCAATGCGTTATGAAACTTGAACAATTCCTTCAAAACAGATTTAAAAATTCCTCCGATGGGCCCTTCTCCTCTAGAAACTTGTTTTATCATTCATGCCCTCTGCCTCTGTTTTAAACCTCCAACAATTCTATTCACAAGTCTCTTCTCTCAAGCCCACAAACACATTCAGTCTTTCCCATCTTTCATATGGGTTACCACCAAATCCCTCCCACTTTCGAGGTCAAATAGTGGTTTACTCTCACTGTCTTCACTTTCTTACCATACATCCATTGGCCTACTACCATCTGGTTTCTGAATTTATGGACGTTGCTCTTAGGAAGCCACCAACAGCCTCTGGATTACCAAAACCAAGGTGTGCATTTTAGTCCTTATTTTACTTAACCTCTCTCTTGCACCTCTTGATATTGTTGAATAGTACTCTTTTCTTTAAATTCTATAGTGATGCCAGATGTTATTTTTCTCCATCTTCTTAACCATTTCTTCTCTCCCTTGCTGGCAGATATCTGCTGAATCTCCAGACCATTCTTGCGTTTTTATTAAACTCTATACCCATATAGCTAACTGCCTAAAGGATACTTCCTTTTTATGACCTAGAGACCACAAACTCAATACATCCAAAACTGTACTGAGCTTCAACCAAAAATCTGCTTCTTCTCCTTAGTGATATATCTTGGACAGAGGTACCACTACCAACCTGTCAGAAATATGGCAGTCATCTTAGAGTCCTTCCTCTTTTCCAACTTCCAAATACTTTCTAAACCTGACGTCCTCATAATTTCTCAAGCAACAGATCTCTCTTACTTCATTTATGACCTTTCTAATCCATCCTCTACACTACTGACAAAATGAAAATTTCTAAGAAGAAAATCTAATTATATTATTCACTTATTTAAAACCCTTAAATGAGTCCTCACTCCAAATGGTAGGAATTCTGGGCTTAAGTAGAAACTATCCTATAAACAACTCCAAATTCTGTACCTACACATATGCATTTTCCTAAAGAAAGGACCTAGGTTATCAAAGGTTAACCCCACAGGATTAAGATTGGCTCATAGGATAAACTCCTAACTCTTCTGCAAGCCCTACGAAACCTTTCAGAATCATCTCAAAACTACACCCTCCTTCCCAGTATAAATTTAAGCCAACCTCGACTATTTCAAGTTCTCAAACAGGGCTATGCTGCTTCAACTTCTCACACCACTGAACCTAATTTCCCTTTGCCTGAAAGGCCACTCCCCACATCCTCCCTAAGTGAATAAGTACTCATCCTTCAAGTGTTCTCTCATCTGTGAAATCCTCCCCTAGTTCCTGCAAGCAACTGATTTCTCCTTTCACCTACTACACTTTGCCTATACTTTTACTAAAGTATTTATCAGGCTCTCTTGTGTAATGGTATGTTGTTCAAACTGAAAGTAGTATTTCTTTAAAAAGCTTAAACAGGATTTGTTCAAAATATATCAGACCTACGATCATTAATAAACTTACCACTAATGTTTTAAAATATTAAGGAAAAAAGTTATGCCTGTTTTGTTAAAAAAAAAAAAGACTGACAATGTAAGCACATAAACAACTGCCTCATTTACTAAGTGAAAACTTCAATTATAAATGTAATTCTAACCCTCAATAAGACTTTTTCTTAACCTTTATATTTGAAAAACCTAATTAAACATGATTTTCCTACTGCAATTTCACATTTTTATATACTCAAGTATTTTTCTTTATATTTGAAAATGTTTGCAGAACCCTAAGTGTGTGTGTGTAAAATATAATTAACATATATTTATGTGTCTTTAAAGTAGACATTTGTGTGAAATCAGTACTATTTCAGTTTTCAGAAGACAAGCAAAACTTTGGGGGCAAGGCAAGAACCTTTTTGAAAATCAGCTTGAGTACACATTAGGGAATCTGAGTTTCCGTGTTACCTTAAGAAAACATCCTCAGTAGGTTATTTAACACAGGCAATCGGAAGTTCTTACTCTTCGTCACTTGATCACTAAAATATAGGGTTAAAGAGTCACGGATGTAAATGTTGCTGGCTATAAAAGCAACTTGCCTGCACAGTGGACAGATGCCAGCTGCCTATTAATCCGGGCCTGAAAATCAGCACTGAACATGGACTCGGCCACGGAATCTGAAGCAAATGTGCAGTGCCTGATGTATTCGCCAACGCCTCCAAGTGACTGATCACTGCCAAGGTCGAATTAATAAGTCTCCTTTGATGTTAATGATTGAGAGTGTTCCCAGGAAAGGACTAAAAGCTGACTGCAGGATGCTGTTTAGAAATATCTAAACAAACTTGCTGGCGATAGTCCTAGCCTGTGTTTGAGTGCACAGGACTGACTAGACGCGTTTTGTAAAAGACCTTCTCCCCCCACCTCCGTCCGCTTGCCTGACCCACAGTTTATTTTTATCCGTTTTTAACTTGGAGCCATCTCAAAAGCAAACTAAGAACTGACTGCTCGTCAGCTCACTTGGAGAAGGCACAACCAGCTTTCGACGGAGCGCGGCCTGCAGTCAGCACCGGGCAGAATGCACCGGCTGGCCCTTCCCACAGGACGAGCAGAGGCGCGACTCCGGCCTCCCAGGTTTCGGTTAGACCGCAACAGAAAGTTTTCTCTTCCCTTGCGGGAAGCAGTGCAACCAAAGAGAAATTTGAACTCCCACTCCCACGGGAGCACCCAGAGGTGAGCTTCGTGTGGGAGGGCGGCCTCGGCCGGGATCGAGGCGGCCGAGGGACTCGTGATTCGACGCGGGCCGCGGCGTCCCCGCCCCGCGCAGGCCCAGCCCGCGGCCTCCCGTCCCCTCCCCGCTGTCCCGACCCTCCCGACCCTCCCGTGGCGGCGA